TATATATTCAGTTCAGCTAAGTATCAGCTGTTTTACACACTTTAACTGAAACTGAATAAGCCCTGACAATGCAAATAAGCTTAAACGGTAAATTACATAGCTAGTATTTTTGTGTTAGTGTTTCAGCATACATTTCTTTTATTTTTCCCTCTTACCTCCACCTTTCCTTTGACAGTACTTACTCAGCAACTTATCTAATGTTCAGTAAAATTTGGTTTGATTTATATAGTGGCACAAAAGTGACCTCAAGGAAATTCCTATTGTAAGGCAAAGACAGCTAAAATGTTAAAAACGTTGCACCTGATGTGTGGATTGCAGAAGTTCTTATTTTGCCAGAGCTCAGGTTGAGTAGCTCAGGCAGGTCCCTCACAGGTAGTTTGATAATAGGACTTGTTATTTAATCTACACACATTTTTTTTATGAAATAGAAGTAGAAAAATTAGACCACACAATTGTCTAAATTATATGAAGGTAAAAATCTATTTTCATGGCTGTTTTTTGTCATGTTTTGTTTTAAATGCAATTTTACTACAATATTTTTTCCTTGCTTTAGCTAGAAGATTTAAACCTAATAAAAGTTCTAAGGCTAACATGGACCTCAGGTCGAACAGGGATAGAGACCTGTCAGCGACACCATGGCAACATTGCTACCATCGCTCAATCGCTAGAGAAAAATGGTGTGAGTGGTCGCTGTGAAATCAGTAAAGAACCAGCCATGGTGGCCTAGAGAGCAGTCAGTGACCCTCGATAATGACTGGTCACTGGGGGAAAATGTGCAATACCTAATGGGTTGAAGAGATATTGTTGGGGGGGGCGGGGGGTGCTCCTGTTCCTGCATGAAACTGTTGCCAACAGGTTTATAGTGCTACCTAAAAACTGCATTTAACTGATTGTATGAAAAACGCTGACTTGTCTGTGTACACATTTACCAACTACTTGCCATTTTGTAGTGAAAATGTGAAGCATGTGCTACAGTTGAGATTGTCCGTTGGTGAACTCGTTGTTGTTTGTGATTAGGCACTTTTTTTTTACTTTCGGTAAAAAAAAAAAAATCTCCGTTTCCGATTTGTGTCACCATTTTTCAAGTTTGACTTGGTGGGCAATTAGTATTTGTGAACAAGTCGGTGTCTTCCATACAAACTAGATTGATGACAGCAATCTGCTAGCAACGGAAATGTTTTTTGTTGAGTGACTTTACTCAGTGACAGCCAGGAACTTCCAGGAACATACTGCCAAGTGGTCAATGAATCCTTTATTTTGCTTAAGTGATCGGAAATCGCCCACTGGTCTCTAGGCTCGTGTGACGGAAGCAGGATTTATGGTCCCACGAATGTGTCGGTCTGTGTACACGTTTCCATTCAGACGGCAGGGTTTACCCACCCCAGATCTCCTAAAAGTTGCTGTCGCTGGAAGCAGATGATGTAAACGACTGCGACAAATGTTGGAATGTTGGCCAGATTAGAGATGGGAGTGACAGCGCGGATCTGAGCTGTGAAAGAAACTTCAAAGATTAAAAAATGCATCGTGCCATCATCTGTCACATGACTCAGCCCTTGCAAGTCATGGTTATCTGTCAATTTTAAGCTCACATTGCGACATTAACTTGCTAACATTTAGGAAGGCTTATTTACCATGACTACTATCGCAGAAGACAACGCTAAGGATGGGGTGAGATGGATGCAGGTAATCAGCTGTGGCGACTCCTGAAAGAAGCAACGAGAAGCTATGAGGACGCTAATTAGCTTAACATGTTACAGAGATCCTGGTAGTGCTTATTTGCACAAACACTAAGTTCAAAAACATAAAAGAGAAAAGAGGAATCATAAATGTAATACCTAGTCAGACAAATACATATCAAAATACTATCTCTGAAATGCACTAAAGTCAATGCTTAAATGTTATATCACAAATGCATTTTATTATTCTCAAATCAATGATTTAGTGCTTTAAATGTTTGTCTTTTTAGAAATACAGCTCATATTTTACAGTTTATAACAGCACTTACAGTAAATGCTGAGTAAATGATTATGGAAATCTCAATATGGTTGGAATCAGACATCTCCCCCAGACAACAGGAATGTCATGCCTGATATTAGGGAGGCTTAGGTTGCTCTGGGGTAGCTGCTACTCCCCCTGACATATCCCTTTTAATTCATTTGACTTGTGTGAGATAAATAACCTCACGTGTCCTCTCTCTCTGTTTTCTCTGAAGGAGTCAAGCTGTAACTGAACAAAAATGTAAGAGATAAGTGGTTTTGTGTTTGGGAGTTCCTCCACAGCCTCTTGAGGGTTGTTGGCGTTCACCAAGTTCCACCGAGTATGGACTGTAACACTGTGTATTCTGATGTGATGTGTTCAAAGATCAAGGGAAAACTTGGAGTCCCTCCAAGTTATGCATTCCAGTGGAAGGCCCTTCAAGTTCCATTTCCAGGAACTTAATAGCTAGGCAGTAGTCCACACTAACACATACTCACAGCCAAACGTGCATTCAGTAACTCACAAACACACCACTTTAACCATGGCCCGCATTTTAATTGCAGAGACAAGGACACTGACCTGTCCAATACAATCATTGATCACGTTATATTCTACAGTATGCAACAACAGAGTCACAAATAAACATCAGCCTTTGACATTAAAGCACACAAACAGAAGCTTTGTACGCTGGGGAGATAGCAGTAAAAGTAATACGCACTACATCTCTGTTATGTTTTAGTTACCAACATCTAGAGTACAAAGGCCTTTGGTTGGTTGGTGTCTGGAGAGTAAGGGTGAGAATGAAGTTTTCTTGTACACTGATGTCTTTACATGATTGGGTTCAAGGCACATCGATAAAAGTAACAGCACAGAAATGTACATAATCACGTCTGCACATGGCCGGTATCAAGCAGTTTATTACCAGTTGGTGTAGTCAGGATTATAGTGTGATATTCACTCAGACTCTCCTGATTTTAACCTAAAATGACAGAAAATTATGGCCTATTATGAGACTAGGGTGCATGTTTATGCATTTTCTTTCTGTGTATTACCAAAAACGAAAAAAGCATCACCCAGTAAAGTGTGTAACACTGGTTTTGGTTGGTACTGTGATGCAAAAAGTGGAATATTAAGCCACCATCCCCATGCAGGAACAAACAGAAGATACATACTGAATGTTTATAACGAAAGGTGCATCGTCAGGAATGCACTATTAGCCCTTCGCAAATTAACGAATGTTTCCAAGGAAAGAAAC